GCAGATCAGCACGCCAACGAGAAGACTCTGGAGGCCAGAATGCTTCGTAGGCAACAGCAAATGGAAATTTTGGAAACTTGCACAATGACTGATGAACTATTATATGGCTCAGAAATAGATGTTTTGGTTTAAGTAATTCAATAAATCGAATTTCTGTACGTAAATCCAATGTAAAACTTTAAACGCGTTTTTCTCAAAACTATGTTTTTTTGAACCGGTGACCACTGTAACTCAAAACCGCTTAGTACATTTTAATGAAATTCATACAGCTTTTAGAATACATAATAACTCGGGCCTGATCGAAGAATTTTCATTTTTTTCAAAAATTTCAAATTTTTAGGACCAATTAACTATTGATTTTTTACCCAAAAATTTAGAATTTTTTTTCTGATGCTGTCATTTTGTTAATTTTTGCAATAAAAAGAAAACCTTCGATCTGGCCCAGGATTATCTATTTGTAAAACTATTTTTTTTTATTTGATTGATTTTAGATGAATCTCTTATGAGTTATGATGGTCACCGCCAGGACCGTTTTTTGAAACAGGGTCAACAAAAACAGCTATAACTTTGAGAATATTTAATTTTTTTTCTGAAATTTTTGTTACTTCAAGTCTTAGGCCGAGAATATTAAAATCTAAAATTAATTTGTGAGCCACTATTAAGAAATGCACGCACATTGTTTTCTGCCATTTGCATTGAAAAAGTAGTTTGAGAATTGGAATGCGTCAAATCAAAATTGCTATGGTTGATGGGGAAAATCTTTTCTTCGGCAGTTCTTTGCATATAGAGCAATTACCCTTATATTTGCACTCTGAAATGCCACGTCGCGATGCTAAACGGGAACAAAAAAAAAAAAACAAAAATAAATTACCTACATTTTCAACAACTTGAGGCACTTAAAAGAGCCTAAAAGTCAAAACTGTCTGGGTGTAGTTTGAGTTTAGGTCATTACGATTTTAAAATTTTCCTGAAATTTATAAAAATGTAGGTAGGTTATAGACCTTATAATGGATCTTATATGGACTAAATTATATAGGCATTATAAGGTCTTTAGATAGGTTTTTTCTAGCTTTTTTGTATAGCGAAGGGAATACGTTTACGTATTAAGCAGACGCGAATTGCCTGGATATGTCGGACTCAACAATGTTAATACCGACTAAAACCTCCGATTTTCCCAGGCCTTGTAACTCCCACGGAAACCGCCGTTAGGCATTACTTCGCGGGGAAGTATCTTGCAACTGCTTTTTCTTCTAATACCTAAGATGTCTTACATTATTCTCTCGCTCTTCTTCTCTCAATGTGACACAGAGCTCAACATACGTACTACTGGCGCTCCAGGCTGCTTTTGATGATAGCATTGCTTCCATTAGTGTTCCTGGTCGAATTCTCTGCTTTAGGATTGTCTTCAGTTCATTCTGCTGTTTACTAAAGCGCGAACACTCAAAGAAAGCATGCTCTGCATCTTCAACTCCTCTGCAAACTGGGCACTTGGGAAAATCATCGTGATAAAGCGATGAGGATATCCCGAAAGCAGTCCAGACAGCATCTGCGTTAGATAGTAGTTGACCTCTCCATGCCTTCGGTTCAGCCAAATGTCAATCTTAGGTATGAGACGATGTGTTCATCTACCCTTTTCTGCGGCATCCCGCTGTAGTTGCCAACGCCTTACGCTGTTTCGACGATCTGCGTTGGTAACGGTTTCGTATTTCCTCAGCTAAAACTCTAAGAGGCAAAGTCGCGGCAATGACACACGATTCCCTAAATATTGTGCGAAAGCCGCATATTACTCGTAAGGCACTCAGGCGGTATACAAGACCAACTTTTCTCCACGCTTCTAGGAGCTCTAGTGCATCTGCCCAAATAGGTACTTCATAAGGTTACCGAGGCACTGATGAAAGTATAAGTCTTCTGATCTGCTTTGGTCCACCGATATTGGGCATTAATCGTGCAAGACAGGAACCCACTACTTAAGCTTTGTCGCTTACTTGTTTTACCTGCTCTTTAAAATTTAGTCAGGCATCAAGCATCACTCCTAAATATCGAATATAAGGATGTGATATGATTTTTTGTTCACCGACTTTTAACTTTATATTCTCTGATTTTTCAGCTGGTGACAAGTACTGCTTCTGTCTTCTGTTTAGCTAGATGAAGATTAACAGTATTCATCCACTGATTTATTATCTCGAAGGTTGAAGGCTAAATGTCGTATTTAATTTAGATATTTCGCGATGATCACAGTAGCAAATGTCACTAGTTTGGCGCGCCTTGGAATCTTAAGGTACACTTCCGGTGATATTATATTTTTTCGAACTATTCTTTGTGTCGTATATCAGGATTCTATTCGTAAAGTAGCTTGACACCCACCCACCCTAGTACAGGGTCCGACACTCGAAGTGTAACCAATTGAAAAAGCCATAATTCCAGTTTGGAAAATTGTTTTTACTCGATTCAAAGTACAAAATGTGTAAAATAATGCAAAATTTAAAAACAATTCAATTTTGCTCGATATGACTATATTTTGCTTTGATTATGGCCTTTAGATGGTCCAAAAATGAATCGCACTGTGCCCAAATGTGACTTGCAGGTATTTTGTCTCACTCGCGGACAACGGCTTTTTTCAGCGCATAGGATTCGCGTCTGGTGAATTCGAGAGCCATTGTGCGGACGTTATTTGCGGAACGTTGTTTTTCAGCCATTCTTGGTTTACTCAAGCTTTATGAGACGGTGCCGAGTTTTGTTGAAACGTCCATCGTCTACCACCGAAATGTTTGTCTGCCCATGGCTTCAATGCAACCTTCAGAATTTTTTCCCGATAATATTGCACATTTACCTTGACGCCAGACTCGATAAAAACGATTGGAGATCGCCTATCTGCGATTACAGTGGCCCAAACGGCGGATGCTGCCTCCTGGTGGCCAATCGATGACTCAAATTCTTGCCTGAATGGTTGGTCAAGTAAACCCTATCGTTTTGAGAGTTTACGAATTGCTCAATTGTAAATATTTTCTTGTCGGAAAACACAATATTCGGAAATTTACCACTTTCGGCAAGGCGAAGCAACTCCTTCGCTCTCTCAAGTCTCACTTGCTGCTGCTTCGGCGTGAGATCATGCGCCTTTTGGATCTTATAAGGCTTGATCTTGAGATGATTTTTTAGAACGCGGCGGATGCCACGGTCAAATATGTTAAGTTCTTTTGCCATTTGATTGGCAATTCGTCGGGGATTTTGCTCGAGTCGCTTTTTCACTTTTTGGCTCCATGACGTTTTGCGATGCTACCAGTATCATTGTAACGAGTTATGGTGTGATAAATGAAAACTTTATTCTCTTTAAGGCAGGGGTGGGCAAATACTTTAAAGCGCGGGCCAAAATGAAATTTTCAAAATGTCTTCCGGGCCGAAGGACTATACCGCGTATGCTTTGCACAAGCCCTTTTTTTGACAAAAACACTAAGTATCATTTCAATTTGAATAAAATATGTCACGTAATTTTTAAAGAAATATTATTATAAATAATGGCTTCTCTTAACGATACAAATTATTTTATATTGACACATAGTTATTACAATTTAATATTTATATTGCATTTCGTAAATATAATAGTAAATAGAATACAAAAAGGAAAAGAAAACGTCAAACGTTAAAATAAATATTTAAAGTTAATGCGAAACGTGAAATCTCGAATGTTCATCTGACATTATTTCTTCAAAATTGGGTTCCAAATCACTTGTAGCAATGCTTAATATCGAGTGTAGATTTTCGTCAGTAATTTGGTATCGATATTTATTTTTCGTGGAAACCATTAAAGAAAAAATTCTTTCACAAATATATGTCGATCCAAATAAAACAAGGTATTTTTGAACATAGTTTAAAAAATGTTTGAAATGTTCGTTATTCAAAGCGCCATAGAAAGCACTCAATTCGTTTGAGTGAAAATTTTCTCTTAGTAAATAATTTGATTGTAAGTCGATTAGTTCTAGTGTAATTTCAACAGGAGCTTTTTACACATCGAAATTGAAAGGCTGGCTAATTAATGGTAAAGGTTTTTCAATAGCTTTAAAATCTTAAAATCTTCTTTGGAATTCAGAATGCAGGTCTTGTGTTATTGCACTATATTTAAAAAAGTCGGGATTTTTCAATGATTATTTGCCGTGCTTGCAATGAGGGGAAATGACTTGATATTTTATTATTAAAGTTTTCAGCAAATAAATTGAGTTTTGCCATAAATGCTTTGACGTTTGAGTGCATATTGAAAGCGAATTAGTTTTTTCCTTGTAGATTTATAGTTAGTTCATTCAAATATTTTGCGATATCTACTGAAAACGAGAAATCGTTTAGCCAAGTCTTATTTTGCAATTTAGGAAAATCATGTAGTTTTTTTTTTATCGACAAGAAGGATAGTATTTCATCAAGCAAATATTGAAATCTGTCCAAAACATTACCAATGCTAAGTTATCTCACTTCAGTGTAATAAGGAATTTCGTAGAAGTCACTCTCAATTTCTTTAAAAATTCAACAAACTGTCGATGATTTACGGTACGTCCTCGGATAAAATTCACAACCTTGGCCACAACAGTAACGACGTGATTCTGGTCGTAACTTTTACTTTGTCGCGAATTCGTTTAAGTAAGCCTACATTTTACCCTGTTAAACTAGGACAACCATCCGTAGTGACGCTTACTATTTTATTCCAAGTTAGACTTACTTTAATTAAATACTCTTCAACAGCGAGAAAGAAGTCTTTACCAGTAGTTGTATCTTTCATTGGATGCACACTAAGAAGTTCCCCGCTAATTTCACATTTCTTGTTAATGCCGCGAATAAATATTAATAATTGACTTGTATCAGTAATATCGCAGGACTCATCTAAAACCAGAGAACAATAGGTAAAATCAGTAATTTTTGTTCTTAGCTGATCGGTCAAGTAAGTTTCCTGAAATATTTTCAATCCGTCGTACTATTGTTCTTCTCGAAAGGCTTTCATTTTCAAAAATATGTTTCTTTGCAGGACAACATATCTCCGACACTTGTACCATACATTGTTTAACAAATTCTGCTTCAGAAAACGGCTTACAGAACTTAGCAATTTTGTGTGCGACAACATAACTTGCTTTTGTGGTAGATTTCTCTATATA